TTCTACAGGTCGCATCGCAACTAATTGACTCCACTGGATATATTCCTGCTTTTGGGTACGGAGTTATAGTTTTGCATTGGAGAGAATTAAGTATAGCTTTAATTACGTCGCCGTCGCATGTCCTGAATATATAAGAAACCTCTGCAAGATGTGGTAACCAGCTTAATGCAGTCTTGGATCAAGTTTAATGAGAGCAACCTTTAGTGAAGCTATTTTGGCGTAATTAATTTAAGGATTCACTGCAACATTCCTGCAACGACTGTTAACCAGTGGTATGACTACGAACAGGCGTCGGTCTTCAAATAAGCTACTTAAAAATCGGCTCCATTAAATAAGTCGAATGAAGTCTCGAAAGAGTACTCTTGGTTTTAGTTACAACTACGACAATCGTACCAAAGCTTCGGATTTGAGAATATGCTCCAGAAATATAAGATCCATTAGCCGCTACTTCAAGCTTTCCTTAGAAACTAACTAACTTAATAACCATCCTTAGATACGTTAAATTCGATGAGTATGGAAGAGAGTAGGCGTTGGGTTTGTGGTGGAAGAGACAGTCGCTGCACATGGAGGAAAACACTTTACCACAATCGCATTTGAGCTTGCTTTTTTAGCACATAGCTAGTTTGCGTCCACGCCTCGACGGAAGCGAAAGACAATGCATCAAAAGAAACGTCCTGTAAACACATTAGCAACTTACGAGGTGTGACAATTAAGTAATGAGACTAACCATATTGCCGCCCTTGTGGTAACCCTGTGACCTTGAAATTCCCTTCCCCTTCACCCGACATCCTTCTCCTCTCCATTGATATATTTGCTCGTCACGAAAATGGAAAAACGAAGTTAACCCCTCGTGATAAATTTTTGCGCCAAATTTAGCGAAATGGCTTCGGTAACGTACGCTAAAATTGTAAATCAGAGCGGGTTTTTCCAAACTTCCTCATGCGAGTCGAAGGTGAAAACAATGATTATTGCCTTTTTTCATAGCCGTGGAATCGTCCACAAAATATTTTTTCCACTGGGGCAAACCGTCAATCAAGTCTACTATCGCCAAGTACTTGAAAGATGGCGAAAACGAGTCAGCAGGGTGCGCCCAGACGTTGCTCGTAACTGGATCCTTCATCACGACAACGCGCCTTGCCACACCGCCTTCAGCGTGTCCCATTATTTAGCCTCTAAAGGGATCGCCGTGCTGGAACAACCGCTGAATTCGCCCGAAATGTCACCCTGTGACTTTTTTGTGCCCCAGAACAAAATCGGTGGTCAAAGGAAACCATTTAATTGTCACACTCCTTATATTAGCGCAACAGCCGCCAGAATGACCAAATCATACTTGAAGATTTAACGGCAGAGTGGGTCAAGAAGTTAGTTTGCTCAAGAGTGGACAAAATCAGCGTCCATGACGAAATATGCCTGAATGGGCTAAGGCTGATTGACTTTGCCAGAACGCAGAAACGGTTTCTGCAGCACCAGATGCAGGCATAAAAGAATCAATTAAGCCAGATCAATTGTATGTTTAGTATTCCAGTCGAGAACACATTTGTGCAAAGACAAAAAATCCTTTGAAATGATTGGGCGAGGTATTACGACTGGAGTTTATATCTGACATCTGGTATTTACCAAGTTGCTTAATTGTGAAACTCTTAGAGATGGCGGTGTCGTTATCAAGAATGAGATTCCGTGAATGGCTGCGCTAGGGGTTCTCTTGGTCTTTTTTCCTGCATGTCCGACGGAAGACGGTGGTAAAACATTTTTGGGATATAACGTTTTTCACGATGCCCATTTTTATACCGAGCCATTTAAAACTAACCTCCACTTCTAGGAACTCATAAGACTCTAAAAGCACGTATCTCGAATATACCGAGGTGGCTCAGCTGTGAATCAAGCCAACTCTCGGATCTTTGATTGATTTCATCTTTCGAAAGGCAACCAAGTTCCGAACATGAACATACATATGTATGTGCATATATATAAAAAATTAGCTGCGAAAAAGCCACACCCAATAATGTTCTCTATTATCCAATATTTAGGTGCAGTAACACAAATATTGCTACGAGTTCAGTTATCGCTTTCACCTTTTGTCTTGCGTGCATATGTGTGAGTGTGATTCGCCTGAGTTTGTCACGAAATTCCTCATCAAAAACACCTGTTAGACTATAAAAGTGGAAGTTTCTAAACAAGAACATGAGTGGTGAATGGAATTCATTGCAATCTTTGCCGTTTTCATTGAGAATTTCGCAAAACAATAGAGGCGGCAGTCAGAGCAAAGCCATTGTTTTCGGGGTAGCTTTGGTAGCTAAGCGTCTTGCGCCGTATAATAGACGCCTCTACAGTCAGTGAGTGTAGGTAAATGTTCATCGAGAACTCACTCAATGATTTTAATTTAGTTGCCGACATGCAAGTGCAATCGCTAACACATAACTCAAGTGCCACTGAGGACCATAGAAATCTTGAAAATTTTCCGTGAAAAGCCAAGAATGTTCGCAAATGTACAGGTGATCAATAGACGCAAGCGAGACCAAGGGTACGCATAACTAAGTAAATTGAAATGTTCATGAAAAATTTACACATACACTGACATAACCCTTTCCCATGTGTACTTTGCTTCAACTTTATTGTTATTGCACAAATTTGCATTCAACTTTCAAGTTTTTAATTAACTTCATTAATTTCATATTCTCTTGTTTCGGTGTGACTTAATTTAAAAAAAATTATTTCTCTCTCTTTCTTTATTCATAGAGAAAACTTTGCCGTGAATTACGAAAAATAAAAAGGATATTGCAAATAATAATTTTTACAAATTGCTATATTACCATTACCCTGTGTTCCAAGTTCCTTTTTAGTTTAATTTATTACAGACACAAACCTAGGGTGTTGTCGGATAGATGTCACCAAATGTTGTATGCTTTCACCGGTTTTCAACCTAACTAAAAGTATTTATTTACTAACAAATTTTGATTCACTGCCGAACTTGATTTCTTCATAAAAATATATACAAACCAAATTTAAGTGTCCCAACAAGTGTTTAAAATACCAGAATAAACGAAAATTTTAAGCACACTAGAAAATATAATTAACAGAATTAAAAATAAATAAAGGGCAAAGGAATATAATCTAAAAATATCAATATATAACTCATTACAATCAAATAAAATAAAATGAAACAAACTAAAATAAATTATATAAATTGAGTTGAAAATCAAAGACAAGAAAGTTATAATACAACGAAATAAAATAAATAAATTTAATATGAGCAAATTTAAAAAAAAAAAGAACAAATTATAATCAATAATAATAAATTAAAATGAAGTAAAAGAAAAAGTAATTGAAATAAACTAATAAAAATCAAATTAAAAATAATTAAATTTATTTATTATTAATTATCTATTAAAGTAAAGTAAAATAAATTAAATAAAACGAATTAAAATAAAATAAAATACAATAAAATTAAAGAAAAATTATTACAGCAAAAATAAAAAATTAAAATAACATAACATAAAATAAAAATAATAGAACAAAATAAAAAATAATAATTATATGAGATGAAATAAAACTAAACTAAATTAAATAAACTTAAATTAAATTCAATTAAATTAATATTAACTTAAATTAATATTAATTAAATCAAAATTATAGATGCCTCTTCAAGTCATTATTCTGTAGGATTGTTTTTAGGTTTTAGTTTTATAAAACAGTCTCAGACCATATATTTTTGGGAATATGTGAAAAAATTACAACAAGAGTTTTGGACGATAGAAGTTAGAGCTGATATTTCGGAAACCACCACGTTTCCCCGCCAGAATTGGATTCGAACTTGTCATGCCCACAGCACGAGCCAATGGTTATCCCATTTAGCTACATGTGTACCGCTTTCACTTATTGTTGTTTTTTTCACCTTTTCCTTATAACCTACATAACCATGGTGCACAGATATTCTGTAGATGTAAAATTTGGCGCGATGTAGTTGTTTTTGCGAAGAATTTACAAACAAATATTTTTTAAGGCAACACCTTTTTTATTATTAATTAAAAAAAATTTTTTATATTAAGTAAAATTAATTAAAAAAAACTGATTAAAGTAAAAATAAAAAAATTAAATTTGGGAGATTATTTTGCCAAAATATAAAATTAAAATATAATAAAATACAAAACGAAATAAATAAAATAAAAATATTCAAATAAAAAAAGATAAAATACAATAAAAAAGGATGAAATAAAATAATAGAAGAAAATAAAAAAGTGAGTTAAATTCAATTTAAATAAAATAAAACAAAAAAAATCAAAAAATAGAATATAGTCAAATAAAATAATAAATTGAAATAAAACAAAAAATATAAACCAAATAAAATAAAACTAAATAAAACGAAATAAAATAATTAAAATAAAATAAAACTAAATAAACGAAATAAAATAATAAAAAAAACAAGTAAAATAAAATTAAATTATATATATGGCGCTTTGTAACCACTGAAGCGGCTTTCGGCCGAACTCTTCCTCCAATTTGTGATTTGCGTCTTGTTGTTTTTCCAACAAATGGAGGGACCTACAGTTTATACTAAATTAAATTTTTAGGGATTTAAACCCGAGCCTTCCCACTGGCAGTACGCAATGTTAATCACGTGCTTTTGATTAGCTAGTAAGAAGAAGTATTAGGTCCTCGCGAGCTTTCAATATCAAATGTAATTTACGTATTTAAAACTTATTTTCTGAACTTTCCTGTATGATTTTCAAAGATTTCTTCTCTTCAAGCGTCTTTCGTATTAATATGCAAATTTTTTGACGACATTTTGTCGTTCAAACTTTAAAGACAGTGATGTCTATGTAGATTTTTGTATAGAAATACTTGAACAAATACTTTTAGTATTATTTCACTCATTTTTTCAGTGAATTATAGTAGAGCAAGCAACACAGCTAATAAGACTGCGGATTTTGTCAAAATTACAATAAACACTATTGATAAAACAGATCACATCATTTTTATTATTTTTAATCATAAAAAAAGTATTTTTTATTTTATTATACGTGTAAATTTTTTATTAAAATTCTTAGCAGTCTCAGGTGTAAATAACCTCACTACCTAAATATCTAAAACATATTCTTACTTTTAGCTGAGGGAACTTTCCATTAGTTTTCTAAAATTCCTACCCCCTTTACCAACGCTAAGTCCCGTATGCACGAATCCTGATCAGATACAACACAAAGGGACTTTTCTCCTTGGAAAAAGGGGCTCTGCGGCCTGAAGTACTCCACTTTCTTCGCATTCAACCAATCGAAGAGTTCATCCAGGCACTGGCATTGCCATGGATTGCCTTCCAATGAAAATTTGCGCAAATTCGGAAAATGCGTGGCGTTCAGCTCGGGGAGAAATGACAATTTGTTGTTGTCCAACAAAAGTTCAGTGAGTTCATTGAATATGTCGAGTACATCGAATGGTATTTCCTCAATCAAATTGTTGCCTAAATGTAATTTGTGTAGATGACGCAATGGTTCAAATAAGCGCTTATCCAGCGAGGTCAGCTCATTGAAACCTATTGAGAGGTACTCCAGAGAGGGTAATGCAGCGAAAGCAAGCGGGTGTAGACGTTTCATATTGTTGGTTTTTATCAAAAGCTTGCGGAAGCGCGGTAGAGACGTTGTGCCGAATACATCTGCATCCAACTTTTGAATATTATTCCCGGACACATCAAGGGTATCGAGCGCTGTGAGGTTCGCAAAAGTATTTGCAAGAAGTGCATCCATGTCATTTTCGTACATATAGAGTTTACGTAGAAGCGGTAAGCCAGCGAAGAGTGCAGGAGTTGGTGAGCTTAACTGATTGCTACCGAGGTTTAAAATTTGCAATTTCCCTAACGGCGCAAAGAGTTCTGCCACCAATGTTGTTAAGTCATTAGAACTGAGGTCCAAGTATTGCAGGGACGCACGTTCCAAACCACAAAATGTTTCTTTTGAAAGTTGGCGCAACGAATTGCCTGCGAGATTGAGTATGATAAGCTTGCTTAGCGGTTGAAAGGCGCCGTTTGCGATGCTCTGTATGGAGTTCGAGGTGAGACGCAAGTGTCGCAGTTGTGGTAAGCCCACAAAATCGTAGGACGATAACTGAAAATTTAAGACGTATGAAATTAGTAACAGTAGTAGTCGGCGCTGTAGGAACTCACCTTTTTTATGTCATTGTCAGCAAGCGTTAGCTCGCGCAGACTGCTGCAGGCGCCAATAGAGGCATTCGTTAAAGCATTGCTATCCAAATTTAAGTACTCCAATTGGGTTAGTCCTGCAAAAGCGTCGGGTTCCACGCGTCTAATGTTGTTAAATGAAAAATTGGCGACCTTCAATTGTAGCAGACGCTGAAAATTCTCCACGTTCAAATTCTGAAAATCATTGCGGCTCGCATCGAGTTGCTTTAGTTTTGAGTTCACTGCAAAATATCGGGGCTTCAGCTCACTCAATTGTGCGCCACTGATATTTAAATGCATCAAAGATGTGAAAGCGCTAAAGCCTTCATCGTCCAAGTTCAAAGCACCAGAATGTGATAAGTCCAAATCAGTGATTTGCATCCACTTCGTTTGTTGTTGCTCTAGTTGTTCGCCCGATTGCGCTGCTCAGTGATAATGCGTTGTTAGAGCGCACACATATACAAATACATGCATCTATTCGAACGAAATACTCACCTGTCAAGTCAAAGAATTCTTCCTTTCGATTCAATACCACAAAACCCCGCCAGCTGGGCGTGAGCTCTTCCTCCACTTCACTTAGCGTTTGCAGTCCTTGACATTGGTAAATTCCAATAGAAGTTGCACCTCTTAACGCCTTGCACTTCTGCGCCAAGCACAACTGCCATCGTAAACTTATTATTATGCATAAAATCAGCTTAACTGGCAATTCACGGTAAATCATGATTCACTGCTAGTGCAAGCGTCTTCCACAAGCCACAGTCGCTTACTGGCGGAATTTTGCATTGTTTGGGAAATGTTTAATCATATAGTTGTTCTTGCGGCTGAGAGACTCGTTTCAGAGAATTTATAAGCAATTAAAGTGACGAACTAAAAAAGCTCTTTGAGAAACAAGTTCTCTTTGGATTTGATCAAAGCTACGGATTAATATCAACGCATAGACACACGGATTTTTCTAAGAGCGTGTTGAGGGAAGAGTAAAATCAGTTTACCCGAAACACGTATGCGATCATATTTACATGTCATATTTGATAACTCTGATGTTTTTATTTAGACGAGGTTTCACGAAGTTGGTTGAAGACAAGATTCATCGTGTCTGGACGACGTCTGATTTCTTTAGAGCAAATGTTTAGGGAATTATCAGGAAGGCGAAAGCAGAAATCCTTCACCTCTACCTTGTTGCATTCGTCTTTCACGCAACATGTGACCCTAGCAGGACATCGGCATGAGTTCCGAAAAATGAATAGCACGTAAACTGCACTTAGCACCATATACACCGACGAAGGAGCTTTGGATCCGTCAAAAGTTTTTGACGCAGTCAATTATTCAGTGCTATTACCGGACACTGAGAACTCTTCATTACCGCCGATGTTGAAGAGGTGGATCATGGGACTCTATGTGGTGGTGTCTTCTCCCCATTTTTGTTTAACTTCTAGCCTCGAAACTCCTTCCTCCACCGGATTGATCTCATATGCGGATGATTGCTCGATATTGGCGTCGTGCCAGGATATTTATGACTTATGCTCGAAAGTAAACTAACTAAAAAAATTTCGCTGTCCTTTCCCACTCCTTCACTGCACGAGAAATTTGATGGCGTCAAAACTCCGCCAAATAAACAGCACTAGGTAATAAACTACGCTGCTCCGATTTGGATATAGGGGACTAGCTATATGCAGATAAAGAAGCTATAAGCTTTCCAGATCACTTGTAAACATCAATGCTACAAGTCAAAAATCATGATGCTATGCTGTGCAAATAATATCTGGGGTGCTACCCAACAGACGTTTATTTGAAGCCCAGCCACCACCTAGTACCCTCTTGTCTGCATGGATTCAATTCAACACCACGTACAAGAACTACTGAAGGACAAAGCGTACCGATAGACTTTAATCGACATCCACCGAGAGTCTGTTAATACCTTATGGAATTGTTTTCTAGTGAACGGCCTTCGTCCTACTTATTCAGTCTGGACCTCGCTGTACCCGACATAACCACCGCTAGGCATGCTTATTAAAATCTATTCATGTAACTTTCTATTTTCTCTACTCCGAGACCGTCGAAACATCTCGTTTTTTGGACCTCCCTTTTGATGTTTAAGATTGATTGTTCCTGCTTCTAAGCGGGGTTATATAGCCGCTGAAAAACAATATTTTCGTCTTCTTATTCTTTATTGGCGTTGTTACCGCTTATGCGATTAAAGCCGAATATAAAGCCCTTTTTTGCGCTGTTTGGCGCCAGTTAGAAATACCAAGTGAGGTCAGGTCACTCTCCACCTGACCCTTCCATAGAAGTGGAGGTCTTCCCCTTCCTCTTTTTCCACCGGCGGTACTGCATCGAATACTTTTAAAACTGGAATGCTTTCATCCATTCGGAAGACATGTCCTAGTCTCTTCATTCGCTAAACTATGTCAATATCATCGTATAGCTCGTACAGCTCATCGTTCCATCGTCTGCAGTATTCGCCATTGCCAATGCGCAAAGGACTACAAATCGTTTGCAAAACTTTTCTCTCGAAGACTCCCAAAGCCGACTAATCAGCTCTTGACATCGTCCACGCCTCTGCGCCATATAGTAGAACGGGTATGATGAGCGACTTGCAGAGTTTGGTTTTCGTTCGCCGAGAGAGGATTTTACTTTTCAATTGCCTACTCGGTCCAAAGCAGCACCTGTTGGCAATAGTGATTCTGAGTTGGATTTCAAGACTGACATTATTGTTGGTGTTGATGCTGGTTCCTAGATAGGCGAAAATATCTACGTCTTCAAAGTTATGACTATCAACAGTGACGTGGGAGCCATATTGCGAATGCGATGATGTTTATTTGATAAGGGGAGATATTTCGTCTTGTCCTTGTTCACAACCAGACCCGTTCGTTTCGCTTCTTTATCAAGCCTGGAGAAAGCAGAACTAACGGCGCGGTTGTTAAAGCCTGACTACGCTTCTGGTGTTTTCTGGAATCAGTTTACACTTTTTGTTAACTCCGTATAAAATTGTATAGTTTGAGATTTGGGAGGTATTGTCCATTAAGGTTTTCTTTCAACTCACACTACAAGTTTCGTGATGATATACATAGTCTCATCTGTTGTACGATACAAGGTTTTCATGGAACTAACTTAAATACTAGAGGTTTTTGAATCGTTAATTCCATAACTTGACTCCGTGTGACTTCTGTGGTATTCATGCATTCTTTTGAAATGATTTAAGGGAAACATTTTATATGTAATTGCGGAGTGATATAGATTCGTAGTTGATAAGGGAAGCTGCTGCTGCAGATGACATCAAATTGAGTAAGAGACTTTCTTATTTTATCTAAAATAATTTTTATTAGGTGAGTCTTGCAAAGTAAATTTATTGCATTTTCAGCCTATCTTACCACCACGATACCTGGTTTAGACAAAAACTCATTTTTAAATGTTTATTTTTTTCAAATTAGTACATGGAGTACGAGTTTTATTATAATAACTTTTTGTTGTTGATTTATATAGTTTTAGCGAATAATATGAAAGTCTGTCTGTCTACCTTCGCTTTTCAATTATATTCAATGAAGCTCTGTGGAAACAAGTCCATTTATATGTATATGTAAGGAAAACTGTGTACATAATTTTTAATTAACAATTACAAAATAAAATACAAATAGTTGAATATTATACTTATATTTACTAAACTACGAAGAAATTAAATATAAATAATTTATGAAAAAATTAATGTAATTCAGGTGAATTAAACATGCCTACATCGGCGTGTAAATGTATGATTGTATATGGACTTATTGATAATAAAATTAAGCTAAATTAGATTGAGCTATTTACTACTAATAAATTATATATGTATGCAGATGTGTATATATGTACGCCACTATTCATATTAAGTGCGTTCATAAATGTGTCTATGTATTTATGTTTGTATATATTTATATTAAATATATTTTAACGATAAGGCATGCCTACAACACGCATTATTATAATCATTTTGGACGATTATAACCATTCATTTATTGTTATGCATGCAAATATGTATGGATGTAAACATGTAAATGCCTAAGGTGTAGTTCAAGCATCTGTAGGTTGATCTTGTTGTTTTTTGTCTTTTTACTTTTTTTCTGATAGCAGTTACTGCATTTCACAAATTATATATAATTAATGAATTTCTAAATACATATGCGCATACATATATTTGCTTTGCAGTTGTTTGTATGTAAGTCATTTAATATATATATATATATTTGTATATATAGTTTTCATGGTTAATTTATTTGAATTTATGTTTGTTTGTATGTTTGTTTATATGCAAGCCTAAGCACTAATTTAATACTTTTCACTTTTACTTTTACCGATTTTTATACAATCTTATTCTTTCCACCATACATGCGCATTTATATCAGAATAATAATTAATTTCTGCGTACTAAATACACATATGCATATGTGGTATCGATAATTGTTTTAATTTAATCACTATTGTTTATTGCAAGTTTACTAAAATTATTACTAAATTAGAAAATAAAATCTCAAAAATGTGTAAATCTATATTTATTTATAGTATAAATAGAAACAATGTGCGTTGTATATATTTATTTTGGTTATTACAAAAGTAGTTATGTTAGTTGTTGTAAAATATATGCAAGATAAAATTGAAAATGCATTGTTATCAAAGCCAAGATTTTTTCAACACGAATATTTGTGGGAGATCTTCTGGTATTAAGGGCGTGACTCTACTTTGGAAATCATTACGAATTGGCAATAATCTGGCAACTATAAACATTGATTTACAATTATTTATCTCAAGTATTCAAAACTCATTCTAGACTTGGCAGGGCTTCTTCATAATAAAACTGTATATAATTACAAAAATAACAGTAATAGTAAAGATACAATTATAATAATAATAATAATAATAATAATAATAATAATAATAATAATAATTATAATAATAGCAATAATAAAAATAATAATAATAATAATAATAATAATAATAATAATAATAATAATAATAATAATAATAATAATAATAATAATAATAATAATAATAATAATAATAATAATAATAATAATAATAATAATAATAATAATAATAATAATAATAATAATAATAATAATAATAATAATAATAATAATAATAATAATAATAATAATAATAATAATAATAATAATAATAATAATAATAATAATAATAATAATAATAATAATAATAATAATAATAATAATAATAATAATAATAATAATAATAATAATAATAATAATAATAATAATANAAATAAAATATAATAAAATAAAATGAAATAAATAATATAAAATAATAAATATATTAAAGTAAAATAATTAAATAAAATAATGTAAAAAATAAATTAAATTAAATTAAACTCGATTAAATTAAATTATAATATTCTAAATGAAAATAAAATAAAATGAAAAAAATGATATTAAATAAAGTAAAATTAAAAAATGAAGTAAAATAGTATAATATCTTATATAATAAAACAAAGTAAATAAAATTAAATTAAATAAAGTAACTTAAAATAAATTAAAATAAATTAAAATAAATTAAATTTGATAAAATAAAATAAAAAAATGAATTAATTAAATAAAAAAAATAATTGAAATAGGACAAAATTAAACATATAAGTTTAATGAAAAAAAAAAGCTACTCGAAATCTTCCTTTATCGAGAATTTATGATGAACCTAATCTATTTTTCCTCTTCACTGCCGTTTTCCTGCTTACTTGACCGACAACAAATACATTAGATATAAATATGCATGTAAATATTTGTATGCGTATGTGTTTAAAATAAAGTAGATATTTTTTCTTTACTCTAATTTTCCATTTTTTTTTCTGGAAATTGTTTCAAAACTTATCTTAACATGAAGTTTAGTATAATAATATCTGTATGTGTGCATGTATACTTGTCATTATTAATAATAGTCATTACATTACTAACTACAAAAACATTCGCGCTCAGACTATAGTAACTGTTGGATTGAAATTGCCGTTGCTACTGCCATTTGTTGGTTGATAGACTTGTAATGGCTTTTGTTGTTGCTGGTGTTGTTGTATGTAGGCATTTTTATTTGACAGTTCTACATGTGTTTGCTGTTGTTGCCAATTATTCGAAAAGTCATGATTTTGATTTGGTTCAGAAGACACTGTTTTTGGTTTTCCATTACCAACAACACCAACACTCGTGATACCGTTACAACCATTTGCCTTGCTGCTATTTCCATTGGTATAACCGTTGCTAACCGCTTTGCCCACACCATTACTGTGACCATTGCAAATACCCTCATTTCTGCCATCACTCCCTCCGCCACCGCCATTGACGCTGCTGCCATTACTGCTGCTGCTGTTGCTTACATTCTTCCTATTTTTATCACCATTGCTCAATTCACACTTGCCATTGCCATTACTTTCGGTTATTGTCTTGCCATTGCCAACAGCATTCCATTGCCATTGCTTCAATGGCTCTCCGATTAGTGTAATTTTAACGGGTTTGTAAATATGGTTGACTGTAGCAACGGCTGATGTTGGTGGTGGCGCGTGTGTGCTTGCTGCTGACGACTGTTGGGTCAGCGTGGGTGTTGTTGCAGCTGCTGTTGCTGTTGGTTTTTCCCACGCGATCGAAGCACGTCGCGGGGCCAATGCTAACTGTTGATTGTAATTGCTCAGTGTGGTAGAGATGATTGTGTGGCGACGTATTTGTTGTTGCTGTGCTGCTGATGCTTCTGTTGCGCTTGCAGGTAGGTTATTATTGCTGCCATTGCAGGAACAACATGTATGTGTTTGTTGTGTGCATAAACTGTTGTTATTATTGCTGTTGTTGTTTTTGTTGGCGCAGTTGCAAATGCTGTTGTTATCACAACAAGCAACGGAATGATAACGAGTCGTATAGCTGGTGTACTCGGGTTTACTTCTGTGTTGTTGAAAGGGGTTGGGAATAAGAGAGAGAGAGAGAGAGAGAGATAAATATGTAAGTAACGACGCTTTTATTTTTTATTATAAATTTTATTGGTCTAGCAAATCAACTTTGAACTAGTGATCTATACAAAAGCGCAGTGCATTTATTATAGTATATCTACACATATATATGTATGTATATTTATGAGATTTTATGGTCAAATGTGGTGTGAATATTTATCTAATCGCATGCTTTTTTTTAACACTTAAGTAAGGCAATTGAATATTCATTTTTAAAAATAAAAAATTATTTAGTTATGAGCGTTTGCTTTGGTTTTTTAAAGGTAAAAGCAAGGAATAATTAATGTATTTAGAAAAGGTTTTCCACCAACAGGTGTAATTTGAAATAGCCAGATGTTCTGGTTGACGTCTCTTTTGAAGATGTAAGTTTTGACATTTAACAAATGAAAACTACATCAGTATTAAAAATTAAACGATACACTCTTCAACAATGCATTGAAACTCGTTAAAATATACTAACAAATTTTATTGGTTGAGAAATTCGTTATATTCAGTGATATTGCACCGAAGCACTATAAGCGAGTTTTTACATATGAATGAACAAATTTTTCGCTATCTTCGTATAATTTGGCTCTTACTTAGAGCGAAAAAAAATATTATCCAAAAATATTAATTTTTTAACGATATATATATTTTTTAAATAGCTTACAATCTCACTGTAATAGCTTAATTCGGATAGATATTTCATATGTAAACTTGATGTGTATCGTGATGTCATGTGAGAAATCTGTTTTCTGCTTTTATTGTCATCCGCTGTTTCTATTACAGACTTTGGCAGGATAAAACAAATTCTTTTGATTGATTAAGATTTTCAGAGCTTACGTTAAATTAAAATAAAGAAAATTATTTTATAAGGTATTATAGTTTGTTTTCGCTTCATTTAGTTTAATATTTCGCTTTGATTTATTTTACATATTTTATTTAATAATATATTTACACTTATTTCCATTTAGTTTATTTTCTTTTCTATTTTATTTCATTTCAATTACTTTATTTTATTTTATTTTATTAATTTTTATTTTATTTTAATATATTTATTTATTTTTTTTTTATCTTATCTTATTTTTTTTATTTCTTTTATTTTAATTTATATTATTTCATTTCATTTAATTCATTTCACTTTAATTACTTTTATTTAAAAAAGTTATTTTGTTTTATGCTTATTTAATATAGAATACTTTAATTTATACCTCTTACTTTATAGTTTAAATCAATTGACTAATTACATTAAGGACAGAATTAAGTTTAATTTTTTCCTTATGAAATGAACATTCAATTGCCTAAATTTTATACATAGTACAACAACATCAAATAACGCATTTCGTTCTTTTTCGATCTGATCCGGAGATATGGAGGTAAGTAGATTATAAAAGTTTAAGGTCAGGTTTAAATAAAAAGTTGAAATCAGCTGACGCTTTAACCGTCCTCAATCATACCAAATCTTTGAAAAAATATTTTGCTTCTCTTTTGTTGCTGTAATATGCATTTTTTTATTCATTAAATATTATGCGTTTTTTTATTAATGACATGAAGGCATTACCTCACAAGTCTATTTAATTGCAGCATGCAATTAAAAACGTTTCAGCAGTTTTAAAATATATTTTTAGTGTTTTTATATATTAGTTCGATATAAAGAAATATTATAATTACTAAAACATTTTATTGTAACTACGAGTCTTTTAGGCTATAAATTATACAAATTATGCACGCAAATAAGTAACTGAGATATTTTGAAAGGAATTTTTAATTCCATATTTCTTTACTTTATTTTTGTAAAGAAAAATATTACAATTTTTCTTACTTACAAAACCAAACTTAGGTTTTATATATGTATATTTATTTCTGTTGAGCTAAAAATAAAGGTTTGTGCTGTCTTAGATGTTTTTTAAGAAATATTTTGTTTTTTTTTTCTAAATAATATTTTCAGATAAATATATGAGCATCGAGTTTATTATATTAATGAGTAATAATATTTATTACTATCAAAAATATTTTTATCTCTTAACTATTTCACTGCTTAACTAACTCTTCTAGCAAGACTCTTGACTAGACATATATATTGTGGCTTGCATTTTGAGAACTCCTAGTGATTTCTATTGAATTAAATAACAACTGTATTTTATGAAAATAATTTGTTTCTATTTATATTAATCATAATTTAATTATTTTAAACCATTTGAAAGCTATGCTAATGTTCACTTACAAACTATTTTTATTATTTTATTCCTTTTATTAATAAAGTGCTCTTACAAAAGCAACTCTTTGAGTTCTACTAATAAATTTCAACTTCACAAACAAGATGAACAATTTTCAATACATGAATAGGTTAAATGTAGTATACAGATAATATTAATGGCACATAGAACCATAACAGCCATGAAAAGATCACAAAACAGTACCTGTTCATCACCATAGTGTCGTCTATTGTGAATGGTTTACCGGTTGACAAAGAAGTAGAGTTTATTTGATACAATATGATTATTTGATAAAAGTGTAAGTGGGTGTGTGCGTAAATGGGTGCAATAATAAGAATGTAAGAATTAAAGAATTTTAAATTGGAATTTTTTTATTAAAACCCGTTCACAAGTAGAGGCAGCATGAAAAAAAAAATTATATAATTATTTTTTTTTTAGATATGCAATATGAGGAGTTTCTATAAGAAAGTTTTAAGCTAATTATTTAAAAAAATATGTAAGTATTTTAAAATAATTAAAAGTCATGTAGTGTGTGTAACTGCAACTAGTTTGTGTAAGCTTTTAATTATGCATATTACATCGTGTTTCGTTAAAAAATTAATTAAACCATCCCCGCCACATTCAACCTAAACCATAGTATTATGTATCTCAGCATATTTATATATTAGGGTAGTCAAATTAATACAAGAAAATATGCTTCCGGAATTTCGAATTAATTATTATTTTTGGCATAAAATAGATTAAAAATTATAGAAAAACCATAAACCCCCTTTTTCTCAAAAATTTAGATGAATGTTAAAATTATGTAGTAAATATTGGATTTTTTTTTTTGATAAGAATGCAAATTAACAAAACCAAAAACGAATACCCTTTTTTAATTAAGTCGTTTTATAAAATTGGTTGTTGGCTATAAAGTTTCTAGTTTATTTATGAAATTATATTAAATTAAAATTCAGCTCCAAATTCTATTTTTTTTCGGACCACCCTAACCTGAAATTTTTCCTGCTATTTCCCTATTTTCTGTAGTGTTTTTTTTTTTGCTGTTTTGTTTGTTTCTAATTTCACGAAATTTCCACATTGCAAAAAACACAAATTTGCCTACGGCAGAATTCGTTGTAGATAGTGAAAGAAGCAAAATATGTTCGTCGCTAGCAAATCGCTTACATTTCGCACACGTAAATTGAGCCAATTGGCCGTTTCGTGGCTGTATGCAACTAGGCCGCGGTAATAATGATGCATGTTGGAGTTGCTGTAGTTGCTGTTGTAGCATGTCAAAATATTGCACGAAAGCTGTCTGCAATTTGCAACCAAACAACGCCAACTATGCAAATCGGCGCAACTGCGCGTGAAGCGCAACAACGTGCCACATGCAAATGCAGCAAGCCGTTGCAAGGTGCTGGCGATGCGACTAAGGCACGATGTTGGCGACGACCGACTGCAGCCAATGAGAGCGGCATCACCACCATCAGCGGCAGCAACAGTCGCAGTTGAGGCACCATCTTCATTGCCAACACTGCGTTGCGGCACCACGACGAAGCCGTTTAGGCAACCGATTACAATGCCACCGAAGTTGTCTTTGAAATGTTGCAATTTACGGGGCATTATAATGAAGAAGCGCTGTGCGGCGGCGGTGGCAGCACTTGGGACGGATGTGATTAGTATCTGCCTGGAGGCAAAGTTTAGTATTGTGGATATTTTAGTTTTAAGATAGTTGAGGAATTGTACGATCTTTTGTTTGCAATCGCAGGCGAGTTCAAGTTGCCGGTTGATGTAGCGCGTAGAAACGCTGTTGGGAGGAAATTCGAAAATTTAAATAAATAAATGGAATGAAATTAATGAATACGTTTTATGTAGTAGTGTATTGTAAGAAAATTTAATAGTTTAATTAATTACGTAGTTACATGTCAAATTAATTTACAACTATCAGTTTCACTAATCAGGCTACCAAAATGAAAATTTTTTGGCGCATAAGGAGGAAAGATTTTTTCAATGAACTTACCTTGACAGTCCTTCTGGGCCATATGAAAATGGTCGTGTCTGTTGAATATGCAAAAGATGTGAACAGTTTTAATAAATTTAGAAAATATATGTACACAATTAATTTGATTAATTTGTTAAGAACTCAATTTAGTTTTTGTTTTTTTTTTTTATTAATTTGATTAGCATCATTTAATTTCGTTTTGTTTAATTTTATTCCTTATCGACTTTTACCCTTTTAATTAAATTTAATATAGTTTATTTAATTTAACATAATTTTGCTTCATATTATTTTATTAAATTTATTTTAATTTATTTTATTACAATTTATTTTTTATTTTTTAAATTCATTATTTAATTTTTTATTATATAAGCGAATTTTATCAATTATTAGTTTAAATTATTTAAAATAATTTTTTATTACATTTTATTTTATTTCATTTTAATTTACTCTATTTGATATATTTTTCTTTTTTCATATTGTCTTATTTTGTATTTTACATTTTATTTATTTGATTTGTTTTGTTGTATGCTTTTATATAATTTAATTTTTTTTATTTTTTAATACATGTAGTTTACCATGTTTATAGTTAGGCCTATTTTCATATAATTTATTCTTATATTATTTTATTTTGAATTTAGCTTTCATTTTCATGTTATTTTGGCTTATTCGATCTTATTTTATTATTGTACTGCTTTTACTTTTATATGTTTTTTGTTGTATAGCAGAATGTTATACAGCAGCGTGTTTTTATTGGTATGGTAGTATTGTTTTAAATTACGGTGCGTGTTTTATTATTATAAGCTTTGTTATGGTTATTTGTGTTATGAATTTAGTTTACATATTATTCATTTTATTCCCAAATATGTTTATTATTAATTTGCTTTATGAAAGTTAGTTTTGTGTTGATGCATATTTTTTATTTTTGAGTTGTGTACTGCTATGTAATGCTATGCTATGTTATGTTATGTTATGTTATGTTATGTAATGCTATCTTATGTTGTGATATATTAGGTTATGTTATGTTATTTAGGACACTTGAATTTTCCCCATTTTACGAACTTACCCTCTCCGTTTGCGTTGCTATATTCAACAATTCTTTTGTGTTTTCATTTTTTATTGGCGGCTTTTTTGATTCCAAATTTTCAATTTGATTTTTTTGCAAACGTATTGTACGTTCACGATCTTCCACTTCACCCTGTTGTTGTTATCATTGATGCAGTTCATTTTCGTGTGGAATGTTGAAAATGTAATATCAGAATGTAAATATATAAACAGAACTTTAGTCATTTTGTCAAACAATTTTTTCAGCTAATATACAATCAAACACAATCGCAGGAAAGTAAAGAAGAAAAGCTAAAACTAAGCGTAAATAATCACGAAAGTGGCGGATAAGAATGTACTTATGTATAGAGGTAAGTGAGAGTGTGAGATTTTTTTTTTTAATTTCAAGTAATTTATTTTTATTTTTTGTTCGGCATTGAGATTTTACTGGAAATCAGCAGTGACAAAAGACTAAAATATTTTAATAATATTTTTTTTCCAAATGAACAATGAAATTAAAAAATTTATTTCGAAAATGATTAATTTCAGAATATTTTGCCTTTTTGAACATTATTTTTATGAAAAATTAATTTAATTTTTTTTCAGATTTATAACAACTATAAAAATTTTAATTTTTTTTTATTTATTAATAAGTTATGCTGTATGTAGTATGTATGTACGACTATGGGCACAAGAGGGTCTATTCAGTGCGTTTTTGTTGTTTTTTAATTTAATTACGTGTGTACAGTTACAATATTTACATGCTTTGTATGCAATTAAAAGGAAATATAAGTATACACTGTTTTTCAAAAAATATATTTTCTTCCAAAAAAAAAAATGTATACAAAAATCATGGAATTCAAAATATTACAAAGAAACAAAATTAGTTCAAGAAGTAATAAACAATTGGAATTTGTTAAATTTTCTAACTGATGATCGCATGTAAGTAAATAGAAATTACCTTAGTTTTAATTAACATAATTATTGCGGTTAAGGTATTGGAAAGACTTTATATGGGCTATGCAAAGGTTTTCGAATTTAATATTTCAAAATATTAACAACTGAAGTATAATTTTTTTTAATATTCCTTTTTTGTTTTTAATGTTAATGGATTTCTTTTAAATTATTTTCAAATAACGTTTTAGTACATTTTTAATTTCAAAAAGTTTTTATCACGCATTGCCATATAAAGACAGAAGAAGAAGAAGAAAGTACTCGAACAATCTTGTCGTCTTTCTTTTGAGTATCGGGCGTTTGTTTAAGTTGAACTTAAATTTCAAAGCATAGTTTTATTCTCATTGGCAGGACAAAATCAAAATCAGAAACAACGAAAACTTATAAAACGTGCAAATACCTGAAGGTAAACCACCTGTCTTCGTAGATCGGCTAACTCCACCAACGGATCATCTGTGGTCGATGTTGTCAAGCTGGCCAAGTCCATGTCATCCAATAGCTTACTATCCAAGCCGCAGGCGGCGAAGAGTTGCCCATTGTCACTGTCGAATGGGTTGAGAGTCTCCGTCTAGGGAAAAAGGCAAAAATATAAACGTATGAGAATTGTAGTTGAAAAAAATATCTTTTATATTTTTTCAGTTGCTGAGATGAGTAATGAATATCGGCGTTGTGTTGATTTAATTTAAATAAAATTTTTTTACTAATTTTTAAAATAAATTCATTGTTGAAGAGTTTTCGTTTAAATTTATTATAGAATAAAATTTCCTGGAAAATATTGCCTCCATATTGAATGCAGGTCTGATGATAACTTTTTTAATTATCTAATGGAGTAAGCGGAAAATTTTAAGCTCCAAATATTGACTATGTTTAAAAATTTTGAGTAAAAAAATATTATAATACTCCCGAAAGCAAAAAATTTGAAAACCAAAAAGATCTAAAAAGTGAGATATTTTTCAAAATGATAATTAATTTTAAACCAAGGATCGACTGAAATATTGTGAGCACTTGCCAGCATAAAACTGTGAGCGTCTGTACAGAAAAATTATCCGCGGTCAAAAGTTTGATGAAGATTAAAAAAATTAGGTAGCACACTGCCGTGTTTAATTCGGAGAGATCTGTGCGGAAAATCGTATTCAAAGTTCGTTTGTTTGACATCTGGAACATAATATATCTTTGCCTAGACTAATATGAAGAAAACTTTCATTCTTTATCATATAGTGGTTGAAGTTATTATGAAAGAAACAACGTAAAAACCTTTTAAAAATCGTTTTGAACCATTTCAGAATTAAATGCGAACGAAATCGTCTTAGTACTAATTTCAAACACAAAAATAAAATTTTAATCATGTGTATCAAGAAACTCTACTTCACAGAACATTCCGAAGTGTTGCAAACTAATGCAAATAAATACAATGCGATTGCAAGATGAAAAAAATTAATAAAACTAATTAAAAGAGTTCCCACCCTACCATATCCAAAGTAGGTTATACAGGGCATATGCACGCTTAGGACTATCGCAAAAATAAGCTTAAATGTATTTCTATTGAAAATATTGAAGCAATTGGTGGATATTCATATCAAAGCACAGCAAGTCCACAAAAAAGACAAATCCGCAGCCTATATAATGTCATGTTGCACGGATTTCAAAAATGGGGATTATGCTGTTAAATTTACATCAACATAACTGTATCGTTTAAGAACGTTTTAAATTTACCTAGTGACGCGACATTTGCATTGCTTAATACCTCAGGGGAGTGCTATCACCACTCATTTATACTATTGCTGTCAAAAGAGTGCTTATGAAAACAGAAGGCGGAATAGTCCAACTTATAGTCAATGGTGGCCATATTTCAGTCATAGTGAGCGGTAACTGTTGTCCAATTCAGGCACTTAGAACTGGACTATTTTCAGTAAAACTAAACAGAGAAGCGAGGGAGAAAGACACCATCGGCCATATATACATGTAAAAAAAATATTGAGGTCTCTCACCTACTCTCTAGCATTGGTTCTTTGTTGCGATCGTAAAACCCCTGGTAAGAAGCGGGTCTTCAGACTTTTGATAATCAGTATCAACGAAATATTCAAATCAACATCATCTGCAGTGCTTCATGCAGTTTTGACTATACCACCAGCAAACCAGCGAGCGCTTTCATAACTGCCATGCCGTGGTACGCTTCTAAGTAGTTGAAAATCAGGGTATACGGCACCGTGTATAGAGATAATGCAAGCACCTAACTTTCGGGAAACTGTTTTCAGCTACAATAAAGACAACTGGCTGGAGTAAGGAATTGAAGATTGCAGGTTGAGATAAGAAGATTGTATAAGCTGGCAAGCCAATATGGTGTCTTCCACGCTGATAAAATTTGTAATAAAGAAGGTGGCAGCGCTACTGGTAGTGGGAATACATTTTTTGTACGAGTATATAATAGAGCGGCAATTAAGTCCTCAATTTAAGTAGTGTGTGGTTACAATATACAAACAATCTATGAAGGGAAATAGAGCAGAAAAGCTGCATGACTTTTAATCAGCAAACAACAAAGAACTATAACGACTACATCCACTTGCTGACCCTACAATAATTTTGTGCAAGCTTGAGGCTCAACAAAGAGTGTAGCAGAACATGCAATGTCGAATTTACTGTATCACCTAAATGAGATTTTTTGGGCAATTAAATTTTACCTGAGAATGGTATACAAATATCAGAGAAGTGATTTAATTTAAGTGATCTGGTTTAAACAAGTTGAATCAGGAATTGATTTTATAATTTCTTATTCGAATTAATATTCACAAAACATCTATTTCTGACACTCATATATATATATATAATATTTCAAGGGATGCTACTTTAAAATTAAAATCTTCGATATAAGCCAATAAATTAAGTTTAAGCTAAATCTGAAACACTCAGCAAAATGTCTGTGAATTTTTTATAATCTAGAATTACCAACTCTGTATTACACATTATTTTAAAACATAAAAAATTTAAATTAAATAATTAAAAAAATTTCAAAATTAAACATACCCTCATCAAATGCTCTTCGTCCTGTTGGTATGTTTATAAGAATGTACGTGTATATGTAAATGTTTATATGTGAGATACATATTATTATAATAAAATGCAGTGCGAAATATAAAATAAAACCAGCAGCGAGACAAAACCAAATATGTATGTGAACATGCAAGTAGAAAAGATATAAGACCAAAATTAATGTGTGTAAAATGAGCTATGATTTATATACAACTGAAATATATTCTGTATACGATTATATACATAAGTAGATATGCATAAATATAAGTAGATATATGTCTATAAATATCTAAATAAATAAAATAATGTAAGCATTTCAGATTATTTTGAGTCTTACAAACTCCTTTCTCAAAACTTACATCCTGCAGTATGCGCCTAAGTCGCAATAACTGTTTTTTGAATTGCAAAACATCCTGAATCATCGCATTGCGAAACGATTTATCGTATAACATTAGATCGTCGGACGAGCTGTGCGAATCGCGATGCAACTGTGAGTAGTGATGTTGGAATGGCTTCTGATGATGGTGATGATGGTGATGATGCTGTTGGTATTGGCTGTTTGGCGGTTGTGAAGCGTTCGTCGATGACGTGGAAGCGTTCGAGGCGCGTGAAGCGGCGGCGCTACGTCGTAGGCTATGCGTTGACTTGGAGCTGTCAGAGTCCGCTCCGCCGCCGCCACCGCCAGAAATACCCGCTATTGAAGCAGATGTGGCTACGCCGCTGGCGCTAGAGGAGGGATACTGTTGTTGTTGTAGGCGCGAACGATTCAGCAGGCGTGTGGCGCGTGCGGGCAAGTGGGCGCTGAAAATGAGAAAATTATATATGTATATCAATATATTTATGTAATTTTTATTCGGTTATTGTTTAATAAATTGAAAGTATTAATAACTTGAGAACAATTTATATAATATATATATGTGCTATGGCTTCTTATTTCTCTCTAACTGTGCCTTAACCATGGAGGGTTGCTTATTATTATTATTTTGTTGTTTCGTGCACCTCAGATATGTGGCATTCGCGTGTGGCGCACTCGTTGACAACACCGTTGCAGCGGCACAGTGACACCAACACTTACACACCGCACCTAATTTCGCCGCTGATTTTGTTGCTACTGCTGGTGTTGTTGTTGCTGTTGGCGTCAACGTCATTGCTCTAGGTGTTGCAGCAGCAACAGTTGTGGCAGAGATTCGCCTTGAACTTTTCAACGTCTTCTGAGTGACGGCATGCGGCAAGTGTGATTTATGTGTGGCATGCAACGTCTGCGCAGAGGGGGGTGGTGGTGGTGGTGCTAAGTGCAACTGCTGCGTATTGCCACATATGGCTGTTCCCTTTATGGTAATCGGCGAGGAAGTGCGCGTTGAAAGGGGCGTACGCGGTTTCGCCGTTGTCAGGAAGATATTTTCAGATGTCTTCAAATCGGTGCGAACACGTCGTGCACCAATTGGTGACTGTTGTAACTGCGCTTGTTGTTGTTGGTGGTGGTGGTGCTGCTGTTGATGTTGCTGTACTCGCTTTGTGGCCATTTTCGTTTCGATTTGCTACAACAACAACAACAACAGCGACACAAACGACAATATTGCAAGCGCATTTGTGGTAAGCAGAAAAAAGGCACTGAGATTTGAATTTTATTATTAAAGTAAAGCGTTGTCCCTCTGTTTGTATCTTATTTTTGTTATGAAAAAACAATATTTGCGTTTTTTCTTTAGGTAGTAAACGTGTTTCCAGAAATTCACTTGTGGCGTGGCAACTGTGTCGCCACTGCGAAGTAGAAAATGTCAGACTGACATTTTGCCTGCATAATCCTGCCACTTGCTATACACATGTGTTTCATGTCTTTGTTTTATTTACTCAAAGTATGACACAATCCTCACATGCGCATTGCGGCTAAATATCCCTGTTGGAAATATGCAACGAAAGTGTTTCATGGTATTTTTTTTCAACAGTCTAAGGCTTCATTCAACATAAGAATATACCAAAAGTAACTTCAAAACAATTGTGATTTTCAAATTGTTTAGTTTAAAACATCTAAATTATTATTTAATTTTATTACTATTTTATTTTTTTTTTGAACGGTGAATGTATGTTGGTTAATCAACGTAAAAAAATTACAATCGAAAAACAGAATGCAAAGTTCTACATCTTTTATGCAAACTTTTCAAGAATTTTCCGAAGATTCGAGAAAAAAAAGAATTTCATTATCAGTAGTTACCTAAAATTTACTTTCGATTGTTTCCTGTTATTAAAAATCTAGGAAAATATTTTCAGAATATATATGTTAATGAAAATTTGTTCTATAAGCTGAAAACGGAACTCCTAAATAAAATTACAGCTCCTTTTTTTGTTACAGCAATTTTTTCGTCAAAATCAGGAGTCGAATCGAACGTGAACGTATAACTCGTCACGTAAACTTAAGTATTTGGCATTATGCCATACGTGAAGGTATGCTCGTTGTCATAATTCGGTATGATGCATTCGTAAAAGTATTTCGTAGAGAACTGTCTTTCGATTACAAAATTGTGCTCGTAAACAAGCAAGCAATAGAATTGCAACAAATTATTTTAAAATGTTATAAAAAACATAGTTGAATAATAAAAAATATTTTTTAAGACAAATGCAAACAAAATTAACGTACCACAAAAGGAGTTCATCTCTGAATTCATCCAAATTTATTACAAATAAAGATAAAAAAGTAAAACACAGCACATAATTGCTTTATTTGACAAAATATTAAGAATTTGGGAACAGCTGATTAAAAATTGTAAGAGAAAAATGTAAAAGTTGAAGATGAAGTTTTATACATTTTCAAATAGTTACGATCCGTTTGCCTTCGCATGGTATCTTCTCAATAATTTCGTACAACGAAATTTATATTGTCTATATTTTTGAATCTGCAAATCAAAATTTTTCTTGATACTGGTAAGAAACGTACTAACACCTATGTACAAATCCAACACAATATAGCAGTCCTGTTTTTATTGGGACAGACCTCATAATTTTAAAAAATAAAATGTAAATTATTTATTTAAAAAAAAATCTAAATTTCAACTTAAATGACCTAGTTTATACGATAAAGCGCTCGTGTTTGCCTTTAATTCATTTTATTTTCCTACAAGGTTTCTGTAAAGAAATGGAATAGGTATATTTGTATGCATACATACGTTCTGGTACCATTGAAAATTAATATTGCATGCCAGGATTTTCTTATTGTGACAGCAAGTTTTAATAATGAATACTTAGAAATATAAAAATAAACCATAATTGTTATTTTAATTAGCTTCGTGTGTATTGATTATCCTGCAAATGGCTTCACTTAAGTTGAGAGAAAATATTGAAAGCAAGAAAGAAGAAGAGTTTTCAGTCATGACAAAGTCTTTCTGCATTTCATGGACATACCAGATTTAAGCTTTTTAAGGATCAAATATTAATTATGTTAACAATATCTGAATAGTGGGTGGAAAGGGGGGCTATATGATGAAGTTTTCCGATTTCAACGTTTTTACGGTCAATGTATATTTGTATATACGTTTGGAGTAAACCAAATGATTTTAACAGGCCTATTCTGTAGAGGTAACAAAATTTACCTAGGTATTAAAAGCTACCATTCAGTAAATTTTGTTATCATTTCGTATTCTGAGCTCACTGAGTAAATTTTGTTACCAGCGAAATAGGAAGTAACAAAACTATCTGCTGTTTGATTTTGTGTTGTAAATTTGAGAAAAAATAAAAAACCAAAATGGGTAGTCATATTTTAGGCCTGGAATTCATTGAAGATGAAGAAAAGAGTGCAAAAAACCGTATTTTAAGAAGTTTTAGAGACTGAAAAACAGCCCTTTAATTTGTAAGATAACGTTTTCATTCAGCTTTTTTTGTAGGGCAGGCATATTTTCCATCATTAGGCTCAAATATTATATATTACAATGTTATATATATTAATAAACACATAAATAAAACGTATTTTATTGAAGTGCATCGTCTTCCATTTCGTTGTGAATATTTTTCTTTTTACTTTATCAACTGGCAAATGTAATTTGACATGGACGAATAAAGCGGTGCTGCCAAATTGTTTTCAAACATTGTAGCCAGTTCGCCAGAATAGCAAATTCAATTTCGGGTGCTAAAGAAAAGTAACAAAATTTACTTGGTAACAGTGAGAATAAGCCTGTAAGTGTTATTTTTGCAATTATAATTTTTTATCCAAAATATCATATTCTGTCAAAACGGTGGTTTGGAGTCTATATGATTAAGTCCTCCAATTTCAATGACTTTCAAATGTTAATTTGGAATAAATGGCCATAGACTTAGCTGCTTTTTCGATGAATTTATGAACCAAGATGTGAAATCTGAAAAATTAGGGCTATCTAGCCGGTTCCGATAGATGATCGTGCTTAAATGATTTGCTGAAACATCTTACAAACTAAGAAACTGGTTTAAAAACTAAAATTAAAAAAAAAAAACATTAACTAGTTTTGAGCATTTAAACTGAATAGCTTTTAACTCAAAACAGATATATTTACCTGGTACTTAAATTGATTTATAGCATTTTTTAGTAGTCAAAAACATTGAAAAGTAAATGGTATTCCCAGTGCAGTATTTGTGGCAAAAAATCAAATATCAATACCAGAGGTTGAAGGTTTTTGAATTTATTTATTTCAACAACTTTCGAAAGGGCACACATGACATTAATATATGTATTTGGATACAATTTGTTTCAAAACTACGGGGTATTCATATGTATATCTTAAAATATATATGCATGTATATAATAATAAAACCATTCTTACAAATTTTTGGTCACAGAGGTTTTCAATATATGGTAACAGCAAAAACATGACATTCAAGGGGAAAAAGTCAGTAATTTTCCTGAACAATAACTTTAAACTGAATATAAGGAAGTACACTTTTTGGTACTACTAAGTACTAACTAAGTATTATTTTATTTTAATGTGTTTCGCATGGCACATATTCAAGCGCTATTAACAACATTATTTAAAGCCACTGGTTTTTAAACCAAGTCTGTAAATTGGCTTTAGGATGCTGAATATAATGTGAGCTTCCTAAAATTGAAAAAAAAACTACCTTGCCGCTTTCAAAATTTTTGTCTATGTAACTTTTTTGCGTCATTTGTGAGTAAAAGTAAATAAATATTTAATATACACATGTACATATATGATTTCTTTTTTAAGCCTATACGGCGATAGTATAAGATTTTACGTAATTTGTTTCAATTTCTCTAATGTTCACTGCCATGATTTTTATTTATTTATTGTTTAAGATGAGTACTTAACTCCAAAAACCTGAAGCTAGCTTTTCGCATTGGTGAACACTAAACTATCAAATAAAAAATTTCCAAAACATTACACACAATGAAGAAAATTTGCATATCAAATTCCCATCAGCAGCATCGACACAGAAATTTAGGTGAGCAGTAGGAAAATTTAGCCAATTATTTTAAATGTAAATTATTTACTCAAGTATGTGTATATTAACTACCATTAGTAAATAGTACGAAGAAGAAAGAGAAATTTTTTCTGGCCTCAGAAATTTGACGAAAAAGAAAAGAAAAAGTGTTGGAATAATGAAGCAAAGAAAATTAATTTTCTGTTGCATAAACTTGTAATATGCATTTAATTGATTTATACATAACTTGTTTTTCTTTTACCGTAGTAACTATTATATTATTGTTTGTTGTGTATTACCAAATATACATACGTTTCCTAAACAATAGACCTTTGGTTGTTCAAAAATTCAAAGAAAAAAGACAGACACGCAAAGCTGCCAATAAATAATTAATGGTTTGATGA